GGGGGCACAGCATGCAGGTTTTAGACAGTGCATACCAGTGTACCTTCAAATAGCCACCACCCTTCCATCTGCGATGAAATTGGTGTAATGGGGGACCATGAGCCAATTCACTGCTGAAAAATAGAGCAACCGGCCCCTCCCTTTCTCCAGGAAACAACAAATAAATGAGCAAGAAGTAACCTCAGGAGAAACAAACTTCAGGAGAATGTCTACTGAGAAAAGCCACACTGATTCATTCTGGATCAACTTAATTAAGAAACAACTAACTGTATGTTGGAATGACAGTATGTTGGAATCAAAACCGAGGAATGCAGTGAGAATAAGGTTTCTCAGTCGCCCAGAGGACAAGACACAGTTCCTTCTGAAATAAAACTAGAAAGCCACTGCGATCATAAGCCAAGAAGTAAGGGTAGGAGGCTGAGAACCAGAAGTCAACAGTGGGGATGGAGGAAGAAAGTATGTATCCATTTTGTTTTATTTCTTCTGTCATGCCTTAGTACTGTCTGCGCCCGGCCTTTGGGATTCAGCAGTCCCTTCCACAGGACGGTCAGGTAACAGGCTGGGATCTCTGTCAACAAGTTTTAAAGTCTCACAAGTCAGCCACGAGTCTGCAGAAATCTACGGAGGCTGGCGGATCCAAGGGAAAACATTAAAAGCGCGCTTTAGCCCACTCTGCAGCCAAAGGCGAGGCCAATCTGCCCGGGGCGTGCCCTCCTGTCCAGACACCATCTCTCGACCGGGACACATCGGTAACCAGGCTGGCTTCTGCCCAGCAGTGCCCATGTGGCTGGTGCCATCTGAGTTTCAAGCATTCCCTTGCCCCTCTGCGCTTGGGAGAGCCCTGAATCGCAGGAGGGTCCCCCAAACGTTAAGCGAGCACGAGGGGCGTCAGCCTCCGGCCTGGAGCCAACCCAGGTAATGTCCACGGGCCGGGCAGCACTTGGGTGGGTGGGGACCTGGCGGAGGGGGTACCCGGCCCACCCGGGGTGCCCGCGCCTCTCGCCAGCCCCCGGAAGCGCCGCCCTCCCGCCCAAAGGGCTCCGAGGGGGCGGGGAGTCGAACGCCCCCTTCCGGGTGCCTCCGCCCGGCTGGCCAGCCCCGCTCCTCCTCCGGGCGGGAATCCTCCCTCCCCCGCCCCTCCCGGAGACGGGCCCCGGCGCCAGGCCCGGCCCCAGGGGGGAACCCCCGGTCCCGGCTCCCCCTCCCTGCGGCCTCTGCCCGTCTTCCCGACCCTTGGGGGCCGGGAAGACCCCGCCGGCAGCGGCCGGGACCCACCGCTCATTACGACATCTTCCTCCCTGGCCTCCGCCGCCTCCGCCGCCACCGAGAGCCTGACACCGCCCGCCTAGTACCCGCCAATCCCGGAGCCCGCCACCGCCCGAGCGACGGCAGCGTTCCCCAATAAGAGTTCGGTACATTGGGGACCGACAGCACTCCTAACCAATCAGAGAGAGGCATCTAGAGCGACGTAGGTTTGGCCAATAAGCATGTGAAATGTCACTGATGGACGGTAGAGGGCACCAACCGAAAGCCCATGGAAATATGAACGACATGTTCCTCAGCCAACTGGCGGGCGGCAGGGTTCCGCCCACTAACTGGTTGATGGACAGCAACAGGAAGCTGGGTGGGGCGGGGCTTAGCTGAGGAGTAGTTTGGTATTGGTGGTGGTTGACCTTCCACCCACCTCTAACCCAGAAGATGAGTGATAGATCTGCCCTAAAGCCAATCAAAAGTCCTTAGGGCGAGGCGGAGAAATGCCCTATAAATAGCATATACATTGCGCTCAATCCGGGGTCGCCCTGCTGTGGCTGTGGCCTCCCGATCTTGGGCCTCTCAACCTTTGCCTGGACAGTGAAAAGCCACCAGCCTTTTATTTAGTCCCTCACTCTCCATCACTTCGCGAGAGGGAAGGGATCGATCCCTCATGCATTTTATGCAGTGCGGAATTGGCGTGCGTCCAGTCCTGCAAAATAACGGGAGTCGGAGAGGGGATTCCAATTCCACCGCCTCAGTTCAAAAGCCCGGTGGACGCTCACCTCATTATTGCAGCCACCCCACCCATCTCTAGGGGACGGTCCCCTGAGGTGGGCATCAGAATCACCGCAGCTCCCAAAAGTAGATTCCCCGGGACCAACCCGGCTGGGGTTGCCTGGGCACGCCTGCGATGTGCATTCTAACAGCGTCTCCGGTGGACAGAATTGGTCTCTGCCACTCACCTCCTTGAAAGAGGTACTGTGAGCAAAGCCCTTGGCAGGCCTACCCGGGGAGGCTTAGCTGTCTCTCCCTGATCTTTCCTGGAGACATAACTTGGGAAGCCTGCCCGGCATTAGTGAGAAGGAATCCACTCTGGCTTCTGACCAGGCTGCGTAGGGAACTTCCGCAGCCCACTTAGAGAGGAAGGGTACTGAAGCTCCGCGCTTGTGTCCTCTGCAAAACGAGGCTAACGACACCTCCACGCCTTAAAGCTGTGGCTTTGGGTTGTTTTTCTTTCTTTCTTTTTTTTTTAAACCACAACCCCCAGAAATATATTTGTGTCCTGGCCTGGTACAAATGTTCCTTGACTTACGATGGGGTCGTGTCCTGATAACCCCACTGTAAGTTGAAAATAACATTGAGTGGAAAATGCATTCATAGCACCCAACCCACCAAACTTAATAGCTTAGCCTCGCCTACCCATAAAGTACGCAGAACACTTACATTAGCCTACAATTGGACAACTATATCTTGCATTTCCATCACCAGAAGCAGGAGACACAGATGGTCTGTGAAAATGCAATATCCAAAAACCACTGGCAACGCAGTGCTCTGTAGTGTGGGGGTTCCCGGGGTGATGGTGACTGGGGCTGCTACTGCTAGCACAACAGAGTAGCGCACTGGTAGCTTGGGGAAAAGAAAACCCACAATTGTAAGTTTGGTTCCATCACTTTTGCGCCATAGCAAAGTCGAAAGTCAGCTGACCTCAAACCAGAACGCTGTGGAACCAGCATAATAAATCTGCAAATGCGTACACTTAAACGTTTGTGAGCAGGGTAACAAAGTTTCAGAGGACAGTATTTACCCTACTACCTGCGATGTATTGATATTTTCTATCCAATCCTATCTTTTTCTCCCCCTCTCCACCTCCTTCCTTCTTCCTTTCTGAAAATCATTGTAATAAAGGTTTGGTGTGATAAAATAATAAAAAAAAAAAAATGCAGAGCAGAATGCCCTGTACACAGCAATTGCTGAATATTAATTGCTGAAATATTGTCTCTTCTAGGCTACCCCTCATGGTCTTAGCCTTTAAAAAACAAGATTTTTAAGAAATTAAATAAAAAACAAGACTTTAGCAGATATCACTCCTCTAGTTAAGATTTTTCTTTTTTAAAAAGAAATACTATTTTTTTTTAAGATTTATTTGTTCATGCATACAAGAACCAGGGTACAGGCCAGATGTGCAGGAGGGTGAGAGGATTCACCAGAGACAGAACAGGGAACAGAAAAGGCAGAGTGACTGAAATACACTGCTGAGGGGAGCAGCAGCGGAGACAGGAGAGGTCGGCTGCCGCATGTGGGCATCTCGCTGGCCCGGATCGAACCTGTGCTGCACAGGCTGCGGACAGGTTCACAGCGCTGTGCTCAACCACCTGCACCACGGGGAGGCCCTAGTTAAGATCTTCCATTGACTCCCTACACCCATCTGGATAAAAAGCCCAAACTCCTTTCTAGGCAAATGGAAGCCTTCACACTCTAGTGCATGATAACAAGCTTCATCTCCTCCCCGCACCCAATTCCCTTCCTACAAATCTCTTTTGCCTCAGAGAAAGATTCCACCATTCCTAAATACTTAAACTTCTCTCTCTATTCCCCTTCCTTTCTCCTGGTAAACTCCTATGCATCCTTCAAGACCCTATTCAAAATCTGAAAACCAAAACTATTGCCCAGCCAAAGCTTTTCCCTTCCTTGGATTGTTCTTATCACATGCAAATAGCTTCACTTGCTCACGCACTATTGTTTTCATTGCTGACTCCCCTGCTAGAGCTGCAGTGGAAGGATAGAGGCCAGTACACAGACAACAGGCAGGAAATGGACTCTGAGGTAAATAATGAATATTTGCATATAATTATATGCAAATGCATATGACTTGTTTATATAGACCATACATTCTGTTCCCAGGCCCTTTTCAAGTTAAGATTGCTTCATTGTCAAAACCAAGGACTCCACCCAGGTTCAGTGACTCAGTTGTTAGGGTGTAGGGATTTTTTTGGGGGGAGGTGGGGTTGAATATTCCTGCTGGGCCACTGCCAAACCTCTTATGGGATGCAATCTGGGGGCAGCTGTGCTCCTACCACAGAAGACTAATCATAAAGACAGCAGAAGTGGAAAAAAACAAGTGTGAGTGTTTGGGGTGTGGGGGAAGGGGCCAGATAGGGTGTGAAAACTTAGAAGAATTTGGCAGCAATTCTGAATTACTGAATGGTTATTCCCTTTTATAGGTCACCATTTTCTTGATTGTTTTTCTCTTTATTTCTAGGCTATTTGGTTCCTCTCTTACCAGAGGCATGGGACATTTTCTAAGAGGAGGACCCCCTTTTACCTCTGTCAGGACCATTAAGCTATTCTCATTTACAACCCCCCAAAATCACCTCACAATGTCCCTTCCCAGAGACTGTATCTTTCCAGATGGCCTCCTCCTCAACAGAGAAGAGGGAGGCCGGTGGCCAGCCCCCTAATGCCTACTTTCTTTCTGGCTGCTCCTTAGACACCCTAGAGGACTTTTAATAAAATCTGAAGTCTGAGTTCCATCCCAGGCCAAAGAAATCGGAATCTCTGAGGGTGGGACCTACAAATGGTATTAAGAATCTCAGGTGAGTTCACTGGGCAGGCAAGTGTTGAGAAACCACTCCTTAGCCCAAAGGTATCTCCCCACTGAGGGTGCCCAAGTAAAATACAGTCTGTACCCTCCATCCCTACCCACTCCTGTCCCTCCCCTCTCCACACTCCTCCCCTGCCCGCCCTACCTGCCTCCTTTCCTGGAGTCAGAGCCGACAGGTGGTTCCAGCTGTGTCTCAACATCAATCAGGGGAGACAAGATCTCCTCCCCTGGTGCATCTGGGGGCAGGTTTGCTCTCGGTATTATTTCTCTTGTTTCCAAGTGCTTTCAGCCTCTTGCTCTAAGTTGTCGTGTCCTCCCCATTCCTAATTTTCAAAGCTACCCATTCTTCACATTTTACCTAAAAGTTCCATGTTTGTCTTGCCTACCTCTGCACCTCCCATTCCCAGCACATTGCTGAATGTATAGTAGGTGCACAGCAAACGTTTGTTGACTGACTACATCCTTTTAACACTTTCACGGACTTATCTGCCTCTCTTCCAGGGACAGCTTCCTCCACCTCTATTTCACGTGTCCTTCCCTGTCTGCCTCTTAACCCCTTTCCCTCTTCATTTTTGCATTTTCCGTTTCTTGGCCTGCTCCTTGTCCTTTTCTTCTGCATGTGGTTGTCCCACCTAACTCATTAGTATAAGAGAGTGAGCCTCTATCCCTGAGGATGCTGAGGGGGCTAAGGGGAGGGACGCAGAAGCTCCCTAATCCTTCTCAGACTTCCCCTGAAAGGACCATAGTGCAGCTGGTGCTGGATGTCCAGAAATTACAAGAATATTAGTGTCCTAGCCCTTGACTATCTGTGGGTTCTCACAGACAGCTTTATGGTTGCTAGCTTCAAAGAGTACAGCAAACTCAACCTTCTAAAGGCTGTTTCTTCTGCCCCAAGGGTCTCCCTATAGCCTCTACCTCTTTCTTCCCCCTCCCATGGTTTTTCTACTGTGTTCTAGTCTCTTCTCTTCCCATCTGTGGAGAAATCACACTTGCAGACGTTCCAAACCATCCTTGGCCCTACTAGATTCCTAGAGAAAGGTATGATGGGACAAACACCCAATTGAAATGAATCATAGTTATTAGGTTGTTTTTTTTTTCCCTAGGTCCATCTAGGAGTTCAACTATCCAGGTTTCTTCAGTCTTCTATGAACATGAAAAATTGGCAGAGGGGCCTCCCCAGTGGCACAGCGGGTTGAGCACCACGCTATGAAGCTGTCCGCAGCCTCTGCAGCATGGGTTCGATTCTGGGCTGGCCAGGGAGAAACCCACATGGCGCAGCAGACCTCTCCTGTCGTACCTGCTGCTCCCCTCAGCAGTGTATTTCTATTGTCTGCCTGTTCTGCTCCCCACTCTGTCTCTGGCGAATCCTCTCACCCTCCCGCACATCTGGCCTGTACCCCATCTCTTGTATAAAAATAAATAAATGTTTAAAAAAAATTGGCAGAGGCTGTAAAATGTATCTTCCTGGTATACTCTGGCAGCTACTCCACTTTGTACCCCAAATACACACATATGGCGACCCCTCTTTCTTCACTACCCAGGATGCCACTCCTGACCCCTGCCCTGACTCATCACCCCTCTGCCTGCCCCTGGATCCCCTGACCAAACCGATGGCTGTCTACCAACTGCCATGGAATCTCCCAGCGGGGACATTCTACCCATCCTCCACAAGGCGTTCTTCCTTCCCTGGTTTGTCTTGTCCCCAAGCCCTTGGGATGCAGCTTGTGGATCTTCAGGAAGAAAGAGTACCACCCGCCCCACTACACCCCAAGCAGGAGGAGCCCTTTAAGTGGAAGGCTCCTGTGTCCCCACAGTCTTTATGTGTCACCACCAGGGGTCACCCAAGGCATTCCCAAAAGCAGTTGCCAGGTTTTTAAACCTTACAGGAACAGGAAGGCAGATATGGAAGTTCAGTTAAACAAGCGTGTGTTGAGTGCCTACTCTTTGCCAGGCTAGTGCCCTGATTCACCTGTAAGCTGAGAGTATGTTCTATTCTCTCTTCTAGTCTCTCCAAAGGGGTTCCTTGAAAAGAACCGTTTGCCTCCTCACAGACTCGCTTCCTACCAGCCTGCTCATGGCCCCTTAACAGCCTCTCTCCATCTCAGCCACTCCACAAACTCAGTCCCTCTGCACCCCACCTGGCACGTCCCCGCAGCTCCAGGTGGCTGCTCAGTCCATTTCTCTGAGTCCAGTCTCCCCATAGCGACTGGAAACGTCCCCAGGGACAAAGGGTGGTGTAAATTTCCCTGGAGGGTCACTCTCTCCCTCTCTTCTCGGCCCCTTCCCCCTCTGTCAAAGCCCCATTGCTGGCTTCCTGGGGTTCCCCAGACACCCTCGGGTGGAGGGTGTGGATTCCGTGAGCCCATTGGCTGTGATGCTGGGCTCAGTGCTTAACTTCTTCACCTGGCAGCGCCAAACCAGCTGGCAGAGAGACTCGGGAAGTGGGCGATGGTGGCGATAACAATAACAATAATAATATTAATAACAACATTGGGGCCCACAAAACGGCTGTGAAATACCCTCTAATGATCCCTTACATTTATAGATCGCCTTCTCTTCCTAGACACTTCAGAGCCAGTGCCCAATTAACCCTCCTAGCTTCCCTAGGAGGGACAATTAACCCCATATTTTATGGCCAGGGGAAACCTAGGCTCTAAGAGGGCGATGGAGTTGGCTAAGGTCACACAGTGCACTTGTGAGTGACAGCAGGATTGTAGAGCAGCACTCTCTCCTTCCTCTCCTCCATACCCAAACCCATCTAGGTGTGTGTGTGCCCACATACAAACACACACACGTGCAACACACTTGCTCACTGTTCATCCCAGCTCTGCCTTGCCAGCGACTGCAACATCTGGAAGTCAGATCTGGGGCAAAGCATAGTTGCTTAGGGGGCCTCCCTGGTGGTGCAAGGGGTTAAGTCTCAGCACTATGAAGTTATTGGCAGTCACTGCAACATAACCCACATGGCGCAGCAGACCTCTCCTGTCTCCCCACTGCTCCCCTCAGCAGTGTATTTCAGTGGATCTGCCTGTTCTGCTCCCCACTCTGTCTCTGGTGAATCCTCTCACCACCCCTGCACCTGTATCTCTGGCCTATACCCCACTCTTATATGTATAAATAAATAAAATAAATCTTTCAAAAAAGGGTAGTTGCTTAGGGTAACAAGGAGAGACCTCCCAGTTCTCTTGAAGGAGAGCCTCTCAGGGCCAACCAGGGCCCTGGGGAGACCTTCCTCTGTTCTCTAGGACAGGCCTCGAGTCTGACTGGTGCCAGTCAGGACTGAGCCTCCCCAGACTTCTGGGCTCATGAGGAAAGAAATGCAGGGCCTCCGAGGACCCCATAAATATCCACTGCTAAGGTCTGGCATGTGTGCACCCTGAAAATCAGGGTGGGGTGATGAACCCCATGAATCCTTCCAGCCAAAATATTGGGGATGGCACAGTGTTTCAGAGCACAGAGGGGATGTGGCAGCCCTCAAGAGGAAGGAGGAGGCCTCCTGAACAGCAATGGCAATTATTGTGCAGACACAAGAAGACATTGAGGGGCCTCCCTGGTGGCGCAAGGTCAAGCACCGCACTATGAGGGATCCACAGCCTCTGCAGCACGAGTTCGATCCCTGGCCGGCCAGGAAGAAACCCACATGGCACAGCAGACTTTTCTTGACTCACCCGCTGCTCCCCTCAGCAGTGTATTTCAGCCAGTCTGCCTGTTCCCCACTCTGTCTCTGGTGAATCCTCTCACCTCTTGCAACTCTGGCCTGTAACCCAGCTCTTGTATGCATATATAAATAAATCTTTAAAAAAAAAAAAAAAGACACTGAGGCAGGAACACAGGGAGGAAGAGAAAGGTACTGGGGCAGGTGACTAGGTCTGAGCTTCGAGGCTTCACCCAGGAAAACATAAAACCAACAGAGAGATGCTTTTTTCCAATCTGAACCCAGACATGGAACAGGGAATGTGCTTTCGTTTGCCTCAAAAGGAAGCAAGATTATCTAATGTATGGAAAGTAATGCCCCAGAGCAGCTGACAGTGGAAGAGGGCAGTGGAGGGATGAGGGGGGACACTGGCTGATACCAACCCGAATCTAGGTTCCAAACTCAGAACACTGACTTTGGGGGACACGTATGTGGGTGGGTCCCAGCTTTGAAAACACCAAGGTGGACACCAAGGTGACCGCCAACCTGCCTGGATTCTGCATGACAGATCCTCCCAGACCGTCCCCCACCCGCCCGCTGCACACCCGTCTCCACTATCCCTCTCTCCCCTGACCCTGCAGCCAGGCCTGGGATGGTCCCTCCCCCAGCTCCTAGTTTCCAGGCTGAAACTCCAAGGCTCCACATTGTTGAGATTTTACTAGGGCTCCCAGCTGGGTCCCACCTTTGATCTGGCTTCAAAAAATAAAAAGGAGTACCAGGAGAGCAATTTTCCCCGACCTGCTGGGGAGGAAGGCAGGCTGGAGGCAGGTCCTGACCAGCCCGGCCCACTCCTCCTTGAGCCTGGAGTCTGAAGCTGGTGGCAGGGGGGTTGGGGGCCAAGGGAGCAAAATCATCTTCCCTGACTTCCTCCCCCTCCCTTCTAGAGCACTGACCTCTAAATAGTCCTCCTTCCCTTCACCACCTGCCAATCAGAAGGGGAGAGGAGGGTACAGGCACAGCTGGTCCGCACCCCCCTTCTCTCCAATCTCAGGCTCCACACCCCAACTTCTTGCCAGTTAGTTGGGCTGGATCAGACCAGTGCCCGGATTAAAAGGGCAGTGCCTCTGTCCTTTCCCCCTTGCACCCCTGAGGAGTGCTGATTGACCACTCAGGGTGGGGCCTGGCGATGGGCAAGTCCATGCCCACCTGGCTGGGCACCCGAGACATTACTCAGTGGACTGACTGTCTCAGTGCCAGCTCTGGTCTTGGGAGGTTGGACTAAAGGGTGGGGAGGGGAAGGCCAAGCTAGAGAGAGGGTGGCTCAGCCTTTTATGGAGCTTGCTCCCCATCCCTCTCTCTGCGGTGATGCAGCCCCCAGCCCAGCCGTCCCCAGCTCAGGATTTCCATCTTCCGGCTGCTGCCCCTGCCCCCCTGCCAGTTCAAAGGCTCCGGCTCCTCACCTGTCCCAGGATACTTAGCTGGCCCTTTCAAGTGGTTAGCAGTGTGCCCCTCCCCCAGCTATCTGAGGTGCAGGACTGCTCCACGCAGGTGCAGGGAATGTGGGGGACCAGGGTACTAGGGTACAGAACCCAGAGATTGGGAGGAGGCAATCTCTGAGCTGCCCCCAGTGTCAAGTCCTAGACACTGGCCATGACACCAGATGATCTCCCACGGGTGGGGAGGGAGCGAGGGCTCCTTCTAAGGGAAAGCTGGATGCTGAGTTTGTGGGACTGGGCAGCTTCTGGCCATGAGATTCCTAGCTCGGCCCTTTGGTCCACACACTGAAATGAGAGCTGGCCCGAAGCAAGGGGCTTTCTGTGCTCTGTTCTTGCCACGCCTTCTTTGTCTCCTACTCCAGTGGCCACTCTGAAAGTGTGCCTGGAATGTCAGGACTCTTCTGAAATTGGCCAGTATCCTGCCCCACTTCCAGGCCACCACTGCCCCTTTCCTGTTCTGGAAAGAGACCACAGGAGCTTGCCTGAGCCCCACTGTCTCCAGAGGGAGGCCCCTCCTGGAAGATGCCCCAGGCATCTCTCCCTGACCTGGGAGGAGAGTCCCAGTGGGGGAGGAGGTTGGGAGTCACCTTGTCTCCAGGTGAGGCAGGGACCCCACATCGATAACCATCTTTCTGGCAGCTCCAACCTGTTCTATTGGTGAGTAACTTTTTTTCCTAGAGGAGAAAGGTGAAGGCCTTGGTGGGGAGTTATTCTGGCTCTGAAGTGTCCTTGCAGCTCCCCCAGGCCCCCTCCAGGCCTTGTGCAAGAGCTGTAAATCTTTCACCACCTACAGGCCTGGGGGAACTGCTGCCACACTGACTTTCATGTAGGGAGGTTTTATGCGTTGGCTCCTCAGTCGGCTCCACAGCTCCTGCCTGGGGCCTCTCCCCAGCCTGTAAAAATCCAGTCCCATAAATCTCGGCTGCCCCCCTAGGGGCCAAGCAGAGTTCCTCCCACTCCACACCCCCACCCCCACCCATCAGCCTCTCTCCCCCAACAGACAGTAGTGTCAGGGAAAAGAGGAAAAGGGTTTCTGAGAAGGGCAGCTCTTGGGTGGGGGCACTTTCTGGGGCTTCCCCCTCCCTTGCTTCTCTGGCATTGAGGCTGCCTAACTGGGTTTGGACCTTGTAGCTGAATGGTCTGTTGTGGCAGTGACTAGCCCTTGAGGGGCTTTGGGGGGTCTCTGATGGGGAGGACATGGGCCTCCACGGCCTACCAGCATCCACCTGAGCCTCCTGAGACAGGTGGCTGTCTGTCTGCC